GAGCCTGCAACTTTGAACTCGGAGATTCGGGAGGCATTTCAGGATCTCGCGCTGTTCGCGTGCTTTTGCCTTTGTCTGCAACTTCGTCGCCATGGCAGGCCAAAGTAGATATGTTTTGTGTCTTTTTTTGCTCGCAAGATCCAATGCTTCACCATGCCTCCGGCGAAACCCCACTTGACCCTGAACCTTGCATCATCCTCTGTCCTACAAAGGCTTTCAAACCTAAAGCCTGCATGCCGAACTTCAAGTGCAGGTAGGTAGCTGCAGAAGCATTCTTGGGACAGGCACTGCAAGATCGCGATAAGTTCATCTCTGATCTAGGAACCAGGAGCCATGTCCAGAAAATCATACCCCGTGCCGGTCCATACTTTGGGAGTTTGAGGCTTGAACCCGGAAACTCGGGAAGCATTTCAGGATCGCATTTTGCGAGCCTGAGCGGTCGTCTCCACCTTCGGTACCATGGCCGAAAATGGGAGCACGTGAAACAAGATGTGTTTGTTGCTTGCTCGTTGCTGCAAGGTCTTTTCCTCTAAAACGCGCCTCACCCTCAGACACCCCAGTACGCTCAGATTGCCAGCCCTTGCGACATGCTACATCCGACGAAAACTTTTTGCACAAAGCCTGACACACACCCACACAGATACACGAAGCTGCGTTGCTGCACGCGTGCTATCCGACTTGAGCAGCTGCGCAGCTATAACAGACCGAAGGTGGAGTTACTTGGGAGTTTTCCAGAGCCTCCCGGCGCCTTGCCATGACTTGGGCTGTTCAAAGTGCCTCCCAAGCCATTCGGCTTCTTTCCCAAGCTTTTCAGTGGCAAAGCACAGTCACCGCGTCTACCTGTCGAAGCTTGTGAATGTGGATCTCTATTGTCGTGACAGTTTAAGTTGGCAGGGTTTGGGAACTCGTAAAGTGAAAAAGTTCAGGCTGTCAGCAGGGCTGAGGAAGGATTTGGGTAAGGGGTAGGGTTAAGGTTCAGGGCGTATATGGCTAAGGCGGGCCTGTCGAAGCTTGTGAATGTGGAGCTCTATTGTCGTGACAGTTTAAGTTTGCAGGGTTTGGGAACTCGTAAAGTGAAAAAAGTTCAGGCTGTCAGCAGGGCTGAGGCGGGTACGGGTTTACAGCCTGTTCCGGGATTATAGGTGTCAGGTTTTGGTTCAGTTGGTTGATGGACTAGGCTTGTTGGTCTTGGGTTTGGTCTTTGAGCCGTTCAAGGCTGAGGTGGCATTTCACAAACCGCGGTCCTTTGCTGCAAAGCGCTTTCAAATGCCTTGTGGCAGCAGTGGGCATGGGTTCACAGCCATGCAAGCATGAGGTAATTCACTCTCGCCTGCCCCGTCGCCCTCCCACAGCAGCAGCAGTTTTTTCTGGCGCGGTTGAAAGCACTGGTCTTTGGAAGCAGTGCCTCATGCATTTCACCGGCCGCGCAGCTGGCCTGGATGACAACCGGAATGAGCCCGGCTCGGCTACCCCAAGCCCCGGTGCGATAAGGTGGGGAAACTTTCAGACTTGCGGGGTGGTGAGGTTGTGGGTGCGGGAACTGGGTTGCATATTGCGGCCCGGATTTGGTTCGGCCCGACAACAGCCCCACCCCAAGGGCCTAAACGCCACACTGTCTAATCACTATATTTACATGTACAGGATTTTCCATCCGTGGCCTGCCCTTGACCTCCTTTGCTGAGCAGCAGAAAAACCCATTAAACGCCTACCGGCAACATCACGCACACATAGCAGCACGCCTCGTTTGCATGAAATACGAGGCCGAGCTTGCCGTGACCAAGAACACGCGGTCGAGCTTGACTGATTTCGTTCGTGTTTGCAGCCACTAATGCGCAATCTAATTCCTGTGACATAAGGAGGCTTGCGTGGGGAGGGAGGGCAACTGGAAAGGAAAACATTGAGCATTGTCGCACGTATTGTCTTGGCCTGTATTATCTAGTGTGCTCTGTGTAAATGTATAATATACACATATATATATATATGTATGCACACATGATAATATAAATGACAGACCGGAAGCCACAAACAAAACGCAACAATATTTAAAGCCAAAGCCAAAACATGGCGAATGGAAAAGTGAAAGCAGAGGTCAGAAACAAAAGGCCACAAGCAAAAGCTAGCAAGCAACGTGCGAGAAGCCGAAGAAGATGCAAGGCAGTAAGAGACGGGCAAAAACAAAAATCAAAACAAGAACAATTCTTTTACTTCGAACATGCCCACCCTGCAGGCAAGGAATCTGCGAGCTTAGGTTGGGCACTCCCGGCATGCTTCGGAATTGTTAGGCACTCCAGGGCCCTCTAGAGGGTTTCTCTGAAGGGTTGGGCAATGCAGGGGCTGCCCGGGCCCAGTATCCCCCCCTCGCAACGGCATGCTTGTTAGAACTCATCTGCGGTTACCTTACGCGTAGCGCTGTGGTTACGTCTCCAGTCCTTGTTGTCTTTTTTTCTCTCCCTTGTCGACCTGTGCCCGGGCGCCTGAGATGCCGGCCCTTTGCATCCCTGCATACAGACCGCATTTTCTCGGCTCGTTGCCGTCCCTCGTATCTCGGTATTTATTTGCACCGTACTACTTGCTACACCCCCTGCTTCTCGGCCCTCAAACGGGGTCTGGGATGCTTCTTAACATTGATTGTGCGTACCCTGCTGCTACCTTGCGCACTGTACTGCGGATTCGCCTCTACCCCAGTTGTCGACTTTAGCTCCTGCTCTTTGCCCTCCAGTCCCAACCGTCCCATCCAATACGGGTGGGGAAAGGCGCCCTTCACATGCACCACAAACTCACCCAGACACCGGGAAGGCATTCCAGATCTGTACATACAGTTGCAGCTCCCAAGCTAGGCCGTTGTCGCCGGGCTACTTTTGGATTCATTCTTGTGCTCTGCCCGCCAATTGCTGGCCGACTCCCCCGCCGGTGTGGCTTCGCAAGAATTTGCATCCGCCTGCAGTTACGGCTGCAAAGTTATCATCGCCAACACCGCGGCGGCCGCGTCGCACTGCTGATGCGTGCTTCGCCTTGACTCGTTCTTGGCCCGAGGCCTGGTTCGAAACATAGGAGCCTCTCATCGCCCCGCTTTACGACTGCACCCTTTCAATTCCTGGCAAGGTTAAAGGAAAATATGTTTTAAGCTTCTTGCAGATCTAGCACTTTATGGTGCTTAAAGGGCTCGTGGGGTTGAAATGGGCTTTCAGAGCCCGAGACGCCGCAACTGCCATGTCGGCTTGGGTAGTCTGAGCAGCCCCCGCCACTCAAAGCCCCCCAATCAAGGCCAGTTTTCAGGAAGCCTGGTATCCTTTGCGGTATATTCCGTTTAACCAAGGCTCCTCATGAATACTGCGAGGTATACTCGAGTATCCCCTGCAAGAACATCGTGCACTCTTCTCTACGACAGTCTGGCTGCTGGAGACTAAAGCATACGACTGTACGCTACAATGATATACCTTAAGCCCGAAACCCCAAGGCCGCGTGGCATTGCCTTGCAGCATGGTTCGGCCGGTCCTTGGCACGGGCTTCTTTAAGTGTTGGGCCCGTTGGGCCCCTCACATGGTCTATAAATGTTTTCCCCCAGCAATCCCCAGCAGAAGATTTGCAACGGCTCCAGATAGTCCGGAACCGTTTTGGACTGTATGTGAACCCTACGTTTATAAATTATTCGTAATAAGATTTAGGGATCCCGTTCTTTAGGATTTTGCAACAAGATTTAGGGAGTAGGGCTAGTTTGTATGGGATTTGGCGGCTCTCCTAGGGACTCTCCTTTGTAGGATATATGGAAGGTTGCCCGGCATTCAGTTTGATATGTACATCCTGAGGCTAGAAGGGCCACAAAACCATGGATCCATGGGGGGGGGGGGGGGGGGGGTAGCTAGACAACCCTAGACAAAAATGCAAGCAGCTTGAAAAAAATCTAACACAAGTCGTTGGCCCTTCCCATCAACAGCGTGCGCAACTCGGTGGCCGGTCCTCCTCTTCCGCTGCGCCAACATACTGCTGCTGCCTGGGTGGCTGATGTGCTGTCCCTGCTTGGTCAACAAGATCAACAAGGTTGATTCACCGTTTTTAGGATCCATGGTCAAGGGAATCATAGGGTTGGTGTCTTGCAAAACCCGACTCCGGAGTGTTCAGGGTCTTGTGGTTGGAATGGCCCGAGGCACAGAAGCGGTGGGTTCGGAATCTGGGGTGGGAATTTGAGTCGCATCGTCTCGTGAGGTACTCAGGTGCTAGGTAGGGCTGGCTCGGGAGTGCCATGTGCGCGCCCGGGCGTCGGCAAGTGCTGCAAGTTCTATGCAAGATCCATCCCTCGGAAGTGCTTCGTAAGATGCTCCTAGTTGATTCTCTGCAGCGTACAGCTCGTTACAAGAAGCCAATCCTGCCGAGACCCAAGCCCGCACACAGTTTCTGCCTAGGTGCCCGAAATGCTGCAGCAGCAGCCGCGTGGCATTGTCTTGCAGCCTGTTTCGACCGTTCCTTGGCAGGTGAGCGGGCTTCTTTAAGTGTTGGGCCCGTCGGGCCCCTCACATGGTCTCTAAATGTGTTCCCCCAGCAATCCCCAGCAGAAGATTTGCAACGGCTCCAGATAGTCCGGAGCCGTTTTTGGACTGTGAACCCTACGTTTGTAAATTATTCGGCACGGGTGCGAGCGGTTCCGGACTATTCACAACCACTGTGGGGCTGTTGCGACCTTGAGCGACGGTGTCTCGCAATAGTCCATTGGTTCAGGGAGCATGTTCCGGACGACTCAACAGTGAACGGCGCATCGTTGCAGGGACCTGCAGGGACCGACGCGCCGAGGCGAGGGATCCTTTCAAGAAAAAGCACCCTCTTTGAGTCTGCAAGTTATCCACCATGGCGCCGTTGGTTGGGTCCATGGCAACCCAAACGATACCCTAAAGCTACTAAAGCGATACCCCAAAGTTCCCCTGCCAACCCATACATTGATCGTGGTGTTGGTGGCAGCGGCGGTGGTCGCAGCCGTGGTTGTTCTCAACTGAGCGTATGCAAACTTCATCTCCGAATCCAAAGCTTGGGAGGGATCGGCTACGCAATTTATCTACCATGTCAAGATAGCGCTTTTTGTGTGAGCGGGTCATGGCACCCCA